TCACACAGGAGTTTTCCACAGCTCTACTTGGAGATGTCAAACAAAGAATTAGGGATCTTTTTCATGCCACTTTTGATATGGACCCACTGCTTCTAACACCGGTGCTGCTTTACTATAGGAAGCTGCCTAAGCTTAAATTAGACCAATAGTCCTTGTAATTCAGTATTTACTATGCTCATGGGCAATGTCTCTCCAATGTTTCACACAGGAGTTTTCCACAGCTCTACTTGGAGATGTCAAACAAAGAATTAGGGATCTTTTTCATGCCACTTTTGATATGGACCCACTGCTTCTAACACCGGTGCTGCCTGTCATCAGTTAGAACAGAGGCCGTCAACCCCCAGTCAGTGGCCCGGTGTCGATCTGCGGCCTGAGCCAGACAAGGCTGTGAAGACTGACCTCCCGCCTGCCCCCCCTGCACTCACTCCCCTCCCCACAGCTGCTTTGCGTGTGTGCCAGCGCTGGCACGAGCACTCCCACATCCCTTCATGCATGTGCGCAGGTGGCCGTGCAAGCGCCCTTGAGCATGAGCGAAGAGGTGGGGAAGCGCTCACGCTGGGGGGCACATGCGCCCAAGAGTGCATGCGTACCTGCGGAGGGCCCCCCGCCTTTCTTGGAGGCTCAGACGGTCCGCAGTCCCAAAAAGATTGGAGGCTGCTGAGTTAGAAGGTACATGAGGTGAATTTGTCCATCTCTCACAGTGTGCTGTGGTAGCTTTCTGAGCCCAGATGTTTGCATGCTGTGCCTCATGAAGGTAAAAGGATAGACAAGGGGGGAGGAGGAGGGAGGGAGAAATATATCTTTATTTTAACCTGTTATGTTAAGGGTTTCCCATGTTCAAGTCAGTGTTCAAAAAGCCAAGAAATTGCAGGAAACTGTTTCCCCGAAAATAAGACCTGACCTAAAAATAAGCCCTAGTATGATTTTTCAGGATGCTCGTAATATAAGCTGTACCCCAAAAATAAGCCCCAGTTAAGTGAAGCCCTGCCTTCCACCATTGTGCAGCAAGCAGAAGATGAAATGACTGTATTTGAATAAATTTAAATTGTTGAGGCGAGGAGGTAGAAGCTCTCGCCGGAGTGTCATCCTTAGGAAAGAACAGGAGGCGCAAACAGACCTGCTTGCATCACCCGTTGAGACGGTACAACGGGGTGTGGACACCGTGAGTTAGAACGGGGTTTGTCTAAATTGACCGTAGCCACTCAGACAGAGAGGGAAATGGCGGGAAAAGAAGAAAGGGGCAGAACCGCCGTGGAGGTGGGAATAGGGGATATAAAAGGAATGAGAAATGATATACCAGGGGGCTGGGAGTTAATATGGGTGAAGGATCCCTGGACTGGGAAATGTGAAAAAGTCTGCGTCCCCAAGGAAGAAGGAGACTACAGGAGAAGAAGAGGTCTGCCTCCACAACCATCGTATTGGGGTGAATCAGAGGCGTGTGAGTGGTGC